CACTATTGCGTCGTGCGTCTCTTAGCTTTAAATATAATAAACATTCTTTAAATAATTTATGTTTAGACGCTTATGGAAAAGCTTTATTTATTTATTAAAGGACGCCACGTAAAATATATGACAATTACGGTGAACATAATATTTATAAAAAATAAAATATTAAACTTACAAAATAATACATAGTACATACGCGAAAAGAAGACGGACTTCCGCGTGTTGTGTGATAAATATCGAAATTCATTTATATATGGAAAATCGATTTGCGATTTTGTACTTTAATATCTTTCTAAAGATAAAATATTATTTAAATAATTGTTACGAATATTATGGTTCGACTAGGCTACTATCCTTAATAGGGCTTGAACATTCATTAAGTACCTAATACATATAAGGTCTAAGGCTTTTATGTACCATATATCCTTACGGCCTTATACACGTACTAAGGGTGAGATCTATAGTGCGCACTTGGACTTTGCTCAGACTTACCTTACGAAAAACTTTGCTTAGTGTACACTAAGGTTAAACTATGATTTCGTATTTATAGACATTTTAACGGTGAGATTAAGCTAAGCCCAAGCTAAGACAGAAAATGTCAAAATACAAATTGATGTTTCATTTCATGCAATACTTTGTTTATTATCCTTTAAAAAAGTAAACAATAACAAATATTTAAACATCTAAAACGGTACACATATATCTTCAATTTATTGTTATTTATGTATTCATTTATTTTATTATTGCAATAACTAGAAATTTACGAGTAACCTTTAGAAAATGTATTAATTATTTAAAGATGACAATAATTTTATTACGTAGAACGGATCGCAATGTTTTGACAACAGCAACAGAGCACTTGTATCAACTATCAACAATTGAAAATTTTAAACCACTTTTTCTCTTTTCTGTTTCTGTTTGTATGAGCTTATAAATATTAAATTGATCTTTCTTCAAAACAACGACTGGCTTTGTGACTTGGACCTGGACCAATCTGGATCGTATACCTACTTAAGACCTACGCATTCCCGAAGCACTGTGACGTTTTGTGATTTGGCTTTGTTACATGGACCGCTTGGAAATATCAATATCGAAAGTGACATGATGGAGAGAGAGAGTTCTATCTTCAATAGAAAACATTGAAAGGGTAGGAACTGCAGCCGATATGAATCCACGAATGCCTAAAGTATATGTTCGGAACTGGATGTTTTCAGGTAATATTGTGTTCATAAATATGTATGGTTTTTCAATTTGATATATTATTATACCTCTTCTCAAATGATTTTAAATACACTTTTGTCTTCTGACTTTCAGAAACATAACATATATGTGACTAATAATAATTTATTGACATTACAGATGGTGTGTGGTGATCTGAACAGCATAAGCCAATCTACAGTCTGTTTAATTATAAATAAAGTCTCTGCAGAGTTGAGTAAATTACTTCCTAGATTTGTAAATTTTCTAAGAAATATGAACACAGCCAAAACGAAGTTTGAAGAATTAGGAAGATCTAATACTCACCATGGCCTAAACAGTATAATCGGAGCTATTGACTGCACCCATATAAAAATTAATAGACCCGAAGGTATCGCTCACTCTGAAGCATACAGAAATAAAAAAGGGTATTTTTCTGTAAATGTGCAAGCAATAATAGGGCCTGATATGGAAATATTTGCTATAGTGACTAGGTGGCCTGGCAGTTCTCACGACAGCAGGATATTTAGAAAATGCCTGTTTTAGTAGGTGACAGCGGTTATCCAGCACTTAACTTCATGTTAACAACACTTTTAAATCCAATGACAAGAGCTGACAATATTTATAATTATTCTCAAATAAGAACTAGGCATATTTTTTAAAGGTTTTTCGGAGTGTGATAAAGGAAATTTCCATGTTTACAGCTAGGACTACAGTCAAAATTGACAAATACTAGTTATATATAATTATAGCTTGTGTTGTATTGCATAATATAGGTATACAGAGAGGGGATGCCTATGATGCTGGTGATCTTGCTGACAGCAGAAGTTGAGTAACACAGAAACAATGAAAGATCTCTTACAGGTCTAGCATTCCGGCAATCTGTGATTGCACAATTTAACTAGGTAATTTGTTTGGTAATAAAGAATATCAAAACAAAACTTGTTTCATTTTAATCATTTATTTTCTGATTCTTTTTTTAAGTGTAATACATATTTCTAATACTAATTTATATTTTTGTTGAAGAAATTCTATTTCCAACAGATTTTTTTAATTTCATATGTTCCACTCCTATCTCAAATTTTTTAGAGTAGTCAGGTAATAAATGGTAGAAGATTCAGGGAAACGAAAATAACAGATGTGAAGCGAGAGACATCGGTTAGGTTATAGTTTGAATTTCGTTGTCACTATAATATGCCAGGGCTGCCAGGTGACATACAAAATCACACCAGTTATTTTTAAGATTTCTCAAAAATGGGGTTTGAACAATTACATAAATAATATAAATAAACAATAATAAATACCATAATAATGTGTAATTATTTTAATTCATGCATTTCATAGGTATTTATCAAGATCATTTATAATTTCTTTGAATTCAAATTCTATTTTTCCCAAAGTCTATGGAACTCCGATACAAAATGGCAACACCGTTCATTAAAAACCGACAAAAATAAAAAGTCCAGTAAAAGATATGATGGTAAAGCAAATTTTGGGCCATCATTTTTGTTAGGCTTATAGTCAAAGTTTTTGGTAAGTCGTCGATTTCGTGGACTTGAGATTAAGCTAAGCCAACACTAGGGAGAGATTCGCAGTTTGCTCTATAAATACCGACTGTGTCTTAGCTCGATAGTTAAGTCAGAGCAAAGTCTAAGTGCGCACTATAGATCTCACCCTAAGAGCCTAACATAGTTAAAGAATGTTTTGTTACGTGTAAAGTGTCACGAGAGGGAGAAGCACAAAACATAATAAAGGCTTATAGTGTATCAGGGAAGGTTCTAGATCTAAACAGATTTTCGCCGTTCAGTCACTTTCCGAGCGGCTTGATCTCTTGGCGTTGCGTAGAGATGTTGGATCTCTCTGCATCTTCTACTGTATTTACCATGGAGAATGCTCAGATGTTTGTTTTATTAATACCAGTAGCTGATTTTTATTATCGGACGTCGAGGCAGAATACGAAATTCCACCCGTATCACCTCGACATCCGTTGTTCCACAACTCAGCTTTTCTTAAGGCAGTTTTTGCCGCGGCGCACCCGGCACCACCACTATCTAGAACCAGCTACCTGAAGTATTTCCAAACGACTTAAAATCCTTCAAGAAAAGAGCGTACCTTCTTCTTCTTACAAGGTCTCTTCTTCTGCTGCACTCGCGAGCCCTCTGGCATTGAGAATGTCCATATGGACAGGTGAGCCTCCTGCCTTCCTGTTACATTAAAAAAAAACTTAATTATCCCAGAACCGTCCTTCAGAACTTTGTTATAGAGAGCTTTAATTATTTTTCCTAGAAATTTACTTTAATTAATCCACGAAAGTGTGATCATCGTCGCGTGCGCATCACGCTTGACGTCACCCAGATTTTGCGTCATGGATCTAGAGGTTTTGATAGTTGCGTAATCAAGGTTAAATTATATAAATAAATCATATTTCCGAATTGCAGTCAGAATGATGGATTCGACAAGTAAAATAACTGCTACGTCAATTTAATTAATAATAAATTATGTATTTATTTACAACACAATACTTTAGTATTTACAATATTCTTGACGTACATAGTAATAATAATGAAAATTTGATAATAATTAGAAAATTAAAAAAAAAAGGTCAAAATCATTTATATATTATACAGTGTACATTGTGTTACCAGTTATCATATAGGTAACTGGTAACACAATGTACACTTATGAACGTCAAAAAAAAATATATTTATGAAATGATCCTAATTTTACATTTACTGCCAGTTCTCAATCAACACAATCAAATCAATCTACGCACAAATCAAGGGCGTAGAACGGAAGAGAAGAACTGGCAATAAACTCTCCGCCACTCTCTTTAATCGCCTAGTTTTTGTTTTACAAAATGTTTGTAAGGAGCTGCAACCAATACACCATGTTCCACGTGACATTTTAAGTAATAATAATAAATTAAAAACAAAGATTTTTCCTCTATCAGCAGGAGACATGGTGAAATAGTCTGTCTAGCACTAGACCCAGGCCCTTTTATCAACTAGATAATCGTTAAGTTTATAGTAAGGTGTGTAAAGAGCTTTTCTTTAATACATTTCTTAAATTTATTAAAAGGCAGAGATAAAAGAGCCTCTGGGATTTTATTAAAGAAAAGTATCCCTTTTCCCAAAAAAGAATTACTAACTTTAGATAGTCTAGTACGGGGAAAGGATAACAAGAAAAAAATGTATATAACAAAACTAAACTGTTCAAACTTAACGTTTCTAATATACGGGCTTTATTATTATGATAATTAATATGCTGTGCATGCCTATTTTTATAAGGTTGTTTGCAATTATTCAATCAGAACGGACCATTTTCTTTGCAAATAAACGATTTATTAATCTAATATATAAAATTCTCGTGTCGCGGTGTTTGTAAGGGTAGTCCACCCCTAAATATTTTTTTTATTTTTAGATATTATTCTGTTTATACAACCCCTAACTTTCACCCCTCTACGATTAACCCCTTTTTTTATTATAAATGATATACATAGCAAAACGACGTTTTCCCGGACAGCTAATGTTAGTATAGATTTAGATATCGTGTTAACTGTGAGAGTTAACAAAGATAGTTATCTAGTTCAATGCCTAATTTGGAAGCTGTTAGTCATTGTCAATGGTATCTGTATGGCATTAATACTTATTCGCACATGTAAAGCGATTCTCACCTCGGGCTGTGCGTTTGAACCCCGGTTACATATGCTCAACACTTGTATTAACAATAGAAACAACGTACGGTGGCGTGATATATTTTACTTTTTATTTTTTCTCTCATGTAAATGACATTTATGTTTTTAATTCCAGGTGACAGTCTAGAAGAACTAAATGGCTATGGTACGATGCGACCTAGGAATATAATCTCGTCGATATTGAGTGGAACGCCAGCCAAGAACAAAGGTCTCGCTATATCCAACCCACATGATTTTAGAATGGTGAGCTTTTCTAATGCATGTAGGCTCGTAGAAATGATGTTTAATCCTGGATGGGAAACAAATCCACAAAAATACTTACACCAACGTTACAGTACTGAACCAATAATGTCGAAAAGAATAAAATACATAAGATACTACCGCTACTGTGAACTCAGTCTGCGAACATATACAGATGTCGATAGTGTCGGAGACAGCATTCAGTAGGCGCAACGTCTTTGTTAACGGGGATCTGTACAACAGACTGGTTCTGGCCCTTCTTTATTTATTGTCATAACAAGTGAATGAAGTGTATTGATAATTTTTGTTAATATAATTTTAGTTAATACTCGCGGTGAGTAGTATGTGTTTGTGGATGCGTTCTTCATGAATGCTTTCAGCTGTAGTGCGCTCTAACCCTGATCTCAATATTTTTCTACTAAGGAGTAGTGTTGGCCTAGCTTCAGCGTGCGAATCTCATTCCTGAGTTGTAGGTGCGATCCCTGGCTGTGCACCAATGGACTTTCTATCTATGTGCGCATTTAACATTCGCTCGAAAGGTGAAGGAAAACATCGTGAGGAAACCGGGTTGCCTTGCCCTCACAGGAAGCTGATAACCTACTTTCCTATTAGATTTATAAATGATCATGAAAGAGTTACAGAAATCTGAGGCCCATACCTAAAAAGGATGAGGTAGGAGGTAGCGCCACTGCTTTTTTATAGAAGCAATTCTTGTTTGTGTTCTTACTGCGAACGATTTAATTAACGCCTCAATCACAAAGTTTCTGTCTGAAGAACTCTCGTCAATAGTCAAATCAAAAGCAGTTTTTTGTCCATTACTATTTATGCAGAAAACTGGTATATAAAAAACATATATTACACAGAATTTTATAGGAATTTTAATTTAAAAAAGTCGTCTCGCAACTTTTTCAAGAAAGCTTTTAAAACGCTATCAGACATTTAAAGCCTCGAAACCGATTTTAACACACAGGCTTCAGTAATACAGACACAAATACACAACCACACCATACACGCATTCATCGCACATTATTGTTAAGTATGTAAACTAAATAGGCATTTCGATTTAGAAAATGTTTTGCTAAGTAAAATAAATGAATGTATTTTTGTAATTCCAGGTATCAGCAATTATTGATGTTGATATAGTACCAGAAACATGTAGAAGAGTGAAGCTGCTCAAACATGGATCAGACAGACCGCTTGGCTTTTTTATAAGGTAAGCTTTTATCATGTATCTCTCTCTTCAGTCAGAAGCTCTTATCTTAGCGTCGTGGTCAGCAATCAACATTTGGAGTGGACGATTTGTTTCCTTCGGTCTGTCCAGCGCCTGTATGACAGTGTAGCGGAGAGTTTATTGCCAGTTCTTCTCGTCCGTTCTACGCCCTTTATTTGAGAACTGGCATTAAATGTAAAATTAGAAGCATTTAATACGTATTTCTTTATTGACGTTCTTAAGTGTATATTGTGTTACCTTAATGAATAGGTACATGCTTTTGAATTTGTATAGTTTTGAGGACGATGAGTCTTTAACTTGATCGATCCATCTGGTTGGTGATCACGATCAGTTTCTGCAAGTTCTCATCGCCTCTGCACATTAACCAATCAATTTCATAAATTTAAAATTACCCCTACAAAAGAATCTAAATGGTTTTTTTATAGATAGATATTCCCAAATTTGAATTGGTTTGTTTTAATATTAACAGTGTTGGTCTAGTGTGTAGGTTTGAAATCCGGCTGTGTACCAATGGACTTTCTTTTTATGTGCGCATTTAACAAACGGTGAACGAAAACATCGTGAGGAAACAGGCTTGCCTTAGACTCAAAAAGTCGACAAGAGTCAGACACAGAAGATGATCACCTACTTGCCTATTGAATTGACAAATAATCATGAAACAAATATAGAAATCTAAGGCCCAGGGTCCTTCAAAAAAGAGCGTACCAATTCTTTAAAGTTTTTTTTTCTTTCCGAGCCTTCTGGCAATGTGAATTTCCATGGGCGGCGGTATCACTTAACACCTCGTGAGAGACTCCTGCCCGTTATTATATAAAAACAAAGTACATGTCAGAAGTGAAACTTCTTTGGCAAACTAATTTTTAACTCTTGTTCATATTTATACAAATCTAAAACTTTAGATTTCCGAGACTTAGAGGGAGGGAAAAAGGAAGATATTATGTTAGGAATTTAAAACATTATATTAAATTATGTCTTTAACTAAGTTTCTTCTTTGTCTATTACCACATGGGCCCAGACACAAGTTGTGACTGCTAATCAATCACGTGCAAAAGACTTACTGATATTTTTCATACTTTTTTACGAGAAAACTAAAAACTGTTTTTTGTCCCTCCAGAGACGGAACCTCGGTCCGAGTGACGCCAAATGGCGTGGAACGGTCCCCGGGCATCTTTATCTCCAGACTGGTGCCTGGGGGACTGGCTGAGTCCACGGGTCTACTGGGAGTCAACGATGAAGTGTTAGAGGTCAACGGAATTGACGTTTCTAATAAGACATTGGATCAGGTGACTACATTTATGTTACTCAATAAAATTTTATAAATTTAGGTATAGGACTTTAATTGTATTACACTTTTTTTTTAAGGCTCTGGTACGGTTTGTGCATTAGCCAGCGTCAAGTATAATTCGTGCTTGCCTTTAGAAATTCGACCGTGTTCTCCATGTACGGTTTAAGCACTCGCCCGGTACCGCACAACCCTCCCAAAGGCCGAGAACAAATTTAAATTAAATTAAAACTTGCCCTCGAACAGGGAATCGAACCCGGTACCCCTTGCCTAGCTGCCACTTAATAAGACCGCTAGGCTATGAGGCCCTCAATATTACACTTAGTACTACACGTATAAGCCGAATAATCTAGAAATAAAAATTACAATTAATAAAACATAGCCTTTCTCCGTGCCCTATTTCAAAGGAAAAATACCATGGGATATCTTAATTAAAATATCAGTTTTTTTTAATAATAATAAAATGTGTAATGACATTAAAGAAGAAAATAAATTGCAATTTCAAGACCAATATGTGAAAATAAAGTTATGCTGTATTAAATAAAGTTCAAGCTGTCTCTTGAGTACTATTTTCTAGAAAGACTAGTTAAGAGTGCATTTCATCTGATTTACGTGTTTATAATAAATCAAATCAATAATAAGATTTATTATTATTATATAAATATCTATTACACTACATCTATAATAAATTTAAAAAAAAAGTTGTTAAGGGACTGGCTTCTGAACACACCTTACACAGAGTTGAAGATGCTATTGAAACCTACACACTCACTCATTCACTCACACGAGTTACGCGCCGCTGTTTAAAATTAGGAGAAGAATTTGTTGTAAACAGTTAAAAAAAATTCAAAATTGTAATTTAAAAACAGTTATATATATTAACTTTTTATAGAAGAGGTGGCAACCCTGACACAAGTATTTTTTACATAGGGCGCGAAACATACAGAAAAGGCGTAAGGTGAAGGCGCGGCGCAGGCGCAGAGCCGGCGTGGAACAGATAAGGCACGGATACGACTTAAATTATATCAAAGAGGCGAAGAGACGGCACAAAGAGTCATTACGCTGACTTTATCGTGATAGCATGTCTTCCTCTTCAGATGACGAAGATGCGCTCGCTTTGCTGCAACTCATTAATGTTCAGAGACACCGAAGATATTGGTGACGTGCCTGTGCCACGCCGCTTGAGTATAATTAACAACGTGCCGCTTACGTACATTTTGTATTGACGCGTTTTGAAGCCGCAAGATGCCTGCGCCGCGCCTTCAGCTTACGCCTTTTCTGTGTGTTTCGCGCCTAAGTGTTCTCAAATCTTAAACATTACTATGCATTATTTAAAATAAAGGAACACTTTTTATTTTATTTTATTTTTGTATTTCAGGTGACAGACATGATGGTAGCGAATTCGTCGAATCTAATAATAACGGTTCGTCCAGCGAACCAACGAGCGGGTCTACCGGTCGTTGAAGCCAGTCGCAACTCACAACCTTCGAGCGAGCCTGATGAAGATAGGTAATATAGATTTCAAGAGTAATTAACAAAACAATACAAATGTTTTAATCCCGTTATCACACAATACACACACAATTCATCAAAGGAAAAAAAGGAATTTATATTAGAAACGGTGTCTAATTTCATAAGTGTTTGACATTGTCATTACGAGATGACCCAGAGAGATTCTTATTGATTTAAATCAGGTAGATGCTAAGTTTCATGAAAAACAGTTCAACAGTGTTTACAGTAGTTTATGACATTATTTTTAAATTAACTTCGTTATCATTAGCGTCTGAAAGCACTTGATCTGAGTGATTTAGGAAGTAGGTGATGAAGAGGAAATCTCATTGAAACCTATAAAATCCTCACTGGCCACTACAATGTTCCAGGAATTGAGAAGCTCTTTTTTTGTAGTGAATACACATTTGAGGGGTAGTTCTTTAAAAATGAAGCCCACTCAACATAACACAAATTCCCTAAAGAACTTTCTCCCAAACCGAGTAGTGGCCGACTGGAATAGGCTGCCGGAAAGTGTAATCAGTGCACCATCTTTGAACTCTTTTAAAAATAGGTTGGATAATTTCTCCAAATTCCCAAATACGCGCGCATCAGCCTTGTACCTGTCCAAATTAATGTTTTGTCTGGAATCAAATCTAGTTTTTGATATTAGCGACGATATTATAGATGCAATAAATTTAACGGTAGAATATTTGGTAATAAAACCAATTTTTTAGATTCGACCAAGAAGACCAAGACGAGATAGTAGACCTTACAGCTGTGACCCTGCAGGACCAAGAACACACTTACCAGCCTCTGGGAAAGGACGATGGCCAGATACTTCATCTCTAGTACATACTTCAAAGATTTCGGATAATGAAAAGTGAGGGTAGGGGTCCTGCCAATACGCTAAAATGAGGGTAGTACTAAATGAGATGAAATTTATAAGGCATAGTAAAGCAATTATATGTAACTTACACAAAACGTGAACAAATAGTTAGGTAACTTAAGTGATTAGGAAGGCGCCTTATTGTTAACAGATATCGTCCAGGCAACTCTAAGGAAAAGTTACTATGGGGAAAGTCTAAGTCACTTCAACTATTAACGAAAATAAGCTTATGCATGAATCAGAATTATGGTTTTAAAATAATATATATTGAATAAAAATATCGTTTTTGACGGATAGAATATGGTAAATGTTAAGGTAAAAAGCTTAGAACAAAATCATTAAAGCTAAAGATCAAGTCAAATTATACCCTTAAATTGTATAATATAAAAATCAAAGGCAATTTCTGCCGCGAACCACCACTATGTGGAACCAGCTCACTAAAGTATTTCCGAAACAATTCGACTTAGAGTCCTTCAAGAAAAGAACGTACCAATTCTTAAAAGGCCGGCAGCGCGCTTGCGAGCCTTCTGGCATTGTGTTGCATGAGCGGCGGTATCACTTAACATTAGGTGAGCTTCCTGCCCATTTGCCTCTTGTATCAAAAAAAAGATCTCTTTATGGTTAATAGTTTTGATTATAAGTAGACCAGCTCGGCACTTTAGCACCATATTTTCCAGTTCCTGCTCAAGATTTATTGCATGAAATAATTGTCATTTATGACTTTAGAAATTGTCTATTGCTGTGCTATACCTTATGCCGTATTTTTTGTCGATTTTAGGATGAATTTTGATGTGTGACACGTTTTTAGCGTATTTGCACTTCTGCCGTACTTCTATCTGTAACTACTTCAATGCCTTAAAAACAGTTAAATATTGGTTTGTGGATGTTTACAGTACTAATACAATGTAATTGTTATCGGTTCGATTACCTAGCATTTGAAAATATTTAATAACTGCATTTAAATCCAAATTTTTTTGGTAACAGAAATTGTATTTGTTATATCATTGTGACCTTGGATTTAAATAAAAATGATAGGTAAATAGTGCTGAAACATTCATAGTGTATCATCATCATCATCATCGCATTTATCATTGGTTATAGCTTTGTTAGAAATAAAAAGTTCCTTTGATGGCCTTAACATATTGATAAAATTGGTCATAACTTGAGAGAACTTAAATAAGGTATTAATTAGTTATTAGTTAGTTAGTCCTTCACAGACAATAAATTTTATAGATTTTGTCAAGCATTCCATTACTTTATTAGTTTTCCAGCATTCCATCTGTTCTTAGCCTGTAATTCAGAATCGATACTTAGAACCAATTATGACTTGTCAAATCAGATACATTTTTGAATTAAGGGTCATACTTAGCTCTAAGGACCGACTCGAAAGGACACTTAGAAACGTATTGTACTTAAGTATTGTATTATACAGACAATGATGCTTTAGACTAAGACTTCACTTCCTATGGAAGGTGCTAACGTTCATGTTTTCGAGTTTAAAATTATAAAAAAGTAAGAATTTATAGTATTCGTTAATTTATTAATCATGTTAGTTTTGCGAATTTGTTGATAACATTCCATTTAAGGTTAGTAGTGCCTTGAATCTCTTTACTGTTGCCAATCGATTTGCTCGAAATGTTTCGTCATTGTTGAAGACAGTGTATAGTTTGTGGCCTAATATTGTGCCTTGTGAGACTCCTTAGCAATAATTTATATGAAACATTTTTACAACTATATATCACATATTCTTAGTTGTTTTATACAAATTTAGATGTAAGAGGATTTTAATCACGTTATCCAAATATTAGCGTGAACTGGAAGGGTTTACGAGAATTTGTCAATGATGCTTTTATATTTAGTTACTCTTGTCGTTTTACTTTAGTTTAGATCAAAGCATTTTAGTTTAGAGCCTATTTTAGTTATCACTATATACTCCTAAGAATTTAAGGGTAACGCCACATATCAGTAAGAATCGGAAAAGCAATTGTTCAAGTACTTACGTCAATTAAAGTGCCTGATTCTCGTACTTTAGCAGACACGTAAATGTCAAATTTGATCTTTACGATTTAGATGTTGACGCTTACATTTACGTGAATAAATAAAAGTTAAATAAGGAGAATCGATGAATACATTCCATAAACGTTTCGTTATAAAAACGCACAGTTTTCAGAAACATGTGCGAAGTTTTTGTATTCGTGATTTTGTAATTTTGTAGGTTTTTTTTTTCAATTTATAAGTATTAGATTCATTACTATCACTGCTGTGTTAAGGGGCTACAATTATTTTAATATTTACCGACATTATAATAGGATCTAGTTTGTAAGACTTAAAAATTGTTTAACGCACGTTTAGCTTTTATTAGCTGAGCTGAGATAAAAATTAAAGCTATTTTTGCTGGAAATAAATATATAAATTATAAAAATACAGTAAAGAAAAATATAAAAAGTGCTGATATAGGAATTGCGTTTTGGTGGGTTAAGGGTCAAAGATGATGTTCGTGTATCTTAAAGAAAATCTTAAAATAACTGTAGCCCTTAAATTATTCATTTATTGTCTTCTAAATATCCATGAAATCTGGAGAAAACATCACGCATTTATGCTAATTAAATCAGTATTTATTGTATTATCTGGATGTACTTAAAATTGAAAATTTACAGTGGTTTTTAATTGGCTCAATATATTGGTCAAAATATAAGGAATTATATTGTTTACTAGATATATTTACACCTTAATTTACTTGCGTTGTATGTAATTAAATATTCTTATTGAAACTGGTTTTTCATTTCAACTGTTACCTGTTATTGTTGCTTAATTAATTGAGTGGAAAAAGCGCAGCTAAACAAAATTTATAAATCTTACAAACGGCCAAGTTTTAGTTAAAAACTATAAAATATGGGTGTTCAAGGAGACTACAGTAACTTAACAGTTAGCTGTCCCAAACAAGTCAACAGAAGTAAAAATAGACGAAGTTAGTAGCGATTATACTGATTTGGTGTACCGCAAGGATCTATTTTAGGTCCTACACTTTTTGTAATTTCCATGAATGCACTGTGTATCTATCTTGAAGTTTGACGATGATATAGTTGCAGTTTTTCATGGGACTACTAGGTGTTATGAAATTTTTCTTGCTAAAAATGTTATATTTTTTACTAACTTAAAAAACTAAGAACATCACCTTTTCTATTAACAAGTCATTTCAACCTTCAAACAACACATTAAAATTAAAAGTTGTAATCTAAATACTTCAACATGTGACTGTAATATGCTAACCTTGGTTACTTCTATAAAATATCTTGGTATCACAATCGACCAAAGCTAAAAAAGGCACATACATAATTTGACGAGACAAGACTAAGTAAACTTATAGTTTTATTCAAAAAAAATCCGGCACGTTTACGATCCTGACATCATAATATCTACTTTACTCCTGCCAATCAATAGCAATTGCAAGCAAAGCCATTTATTCGTATGTCATTATCGCTTGGAGAGAAGCAGGCTTCACGGAATGACCTCACTGTTACGAGAATTTCTGCTCATTGGGAAGCCACAGCCACGCATTCCAGGGCTACGTGGGTGACTGATTCCTCTGCGCTGAAATAGCCTCACAAGAGACTTTCCGGCGCCAAGGACAAAGATGTTTAATAAGAATACAGTGGCCCGTAATTGTGCCTATCATTATTTTAAGATTATTTCTCATTCATTCATTCAGTCCGCGAATCCAGGTTCGCATTTAGGAGAAGGGCAAGGGAAGTAGCGGGTACGGGCCAGTCGGAAGCATTCCGTCCCTCTCCTTGAAAGCTCGTCAGCAGCATCATTGCCGAGAGGTCCACTGTATAACCCTGTTTGTCAGGGTTATTGCCTCCAGTGCAAAGTGACATAGTTGTTTGATACGAAAATGTTTATTTCTTCTGTACTCGTATAACATATACGTACCTATATTTATAAAATAATCCAATTTGAAAATTAAAAGGCTCAAAGATTGTTTATCCTTCGTTTAGTAAATCTATTCAAATATTTAAAATACTAAATTGAAATATATAACATAGATAAAAAAACACTCCAGTATTTAATTAGTTACATTGCCTTGGTACTTGGCTTATTACCTTAAAAGGTATAAAGATAATTAATACTTAAAACAAAAATAGAAGACTCAGGCGTGCCAAGTACATTTCGTCAATTTCAACCTGTCTTATTTATATAGACAACGCAATCGTTTGAAACTAGCGAAAATACAACTAATTTACGTGTGAAAGTAAAATTTATTATATCTGTTTTACATACACGTCTTCTAAACAATTATTTGATACTTAAAAATAGTTTATTTTCAACCTTACATCACTGTAATAGAAGCGAGTATATTAATTTCGGTCGCACATAACATCAAGCCAAGGTCTGGGTCTCCAGAAATAAATATTACTCCAGAATCAAATGGTGCCAAGTTTTACGTTGTGTCGTCAGTCAATTGAAGAAAATCGTCGCAGATGGACAATCGTGTAAAGTGCCAGTGCGAAAAGTGTTTATGTGCGTATTAATAAACAATTAATTCATAACACACTTTTTTATCATAATCTGTGATTAACATATTCGAATTTCAAATTTTGGCGGCAGCGAAAAAAATGGAAGACGATTATTACCACGTGGTGACAAGGATGGAAGACATAACCGAGCAGGACGACAGACACCTAGCGGGCGCGCGTAAAGAAATAAGAAATGATTTGCACATTATTATACCCGAAAACCCGTTCCCTGATGAAGAAGTGGACGCATACCCACCTCTAAAATACTCTTGGGTAATTCCCGAAAAGCTTGCAGCCATGGCGTTTCCACGGCACAAGGAGAATTTACAGTTTTTGGTTAACCAAGGCATAACACACCTGATAACACTGACGGCGGGAAAAAAGCCGCCGATAGACGATATACCAAGATTGCGGTGGACGGAGATACCCGTCGAAGAGTTCGGAGTACCCACGGTAGAGCAAATCGAGAAATTTGTTGATATTTGTAAGAAAGCTGATAAAAATGGAGAGGTGAGTGGTCAGTAAAATAAAATCATCTATTAGGAAAATGGCAACAACCACAAAAAAAATTGTTCTAAGATGTCAACAACCTCGTGCATTAAAGAAAACTTGGCAAAACATGAAAAATTATTAGTCAAACAAAAAAGCTGCTAATGACGTTTCAGGCGTATTTTTATTATAAATCATTTATTCATCATTATTCATAAATTTTTTGTCATAAATCTTTATGACAAAAATTTTATGTTCTTTATATTATACTCGACATTTATCTATTTATTCTGTTGCGCCATCTGATATGTGGAGTTGTTTGGCGGTTAAAAGCACTGTTTTATTTTGAACCCTAACCTTAGTATATATATATATATATATATATATAGAATCATTTTATCGTTCTGCATTCTACGTTCGTTCTTGAGTACAGTGAGTACAGATTTGGTCTTCAGATAGTTCTTAACAGCGGCAAATTTACGTCTAAATTTGATAAAAAAAAAAACGATGTAAATGATTGTACGTTATTGGGCAGGTACTCGGTATCCATTGTCGTCAAGGACGCAGCAGATCTGGTGTGATGCTGGCTTGCTATTTGGTTCACTTCCACAGATTCCACCCTGAGCAAGCGTTAAACGTCATTCGGATGATACGACCAGGTAATTCATTTATTATTTAAAATTCAATACATACAGAATAATAATTTAATCTATATATTTTTATAAAATTATCGTGTCACAATGTTCGTTCCCATACTCCTCCGAAACCACTCAACCGATTCTTATGAAATTTTTTATGCATATTCAGTAAGTCTGAGAATTCGGCTACTATCTATCTTTCAACCCCCTAAGTGATAAGGGGTGTCTACCACAAAATTTTGGTATGTAATAGAAAGATAGGCTAAGTAAAATCACATTAAGGAGAAACGAAGTTCGCGGGGGCAGCTAGTATCGCTATAAAATATTACTGGGCTCCAGTACAGTTCTCACAACACCAGGAGCCTAGGACAAAATAATAATAATTTATTTATTAAAGCAGACAATCCTATGTTCATGTGGTTACTGTGTTACTTACAATATTCTCCTAAATATAATATTAGTAGTTTAGCTTTAAAGTTCATAATTATATTAAATCATAAAATTAAAAAGGGCACATGCAGTCCATTGCAATGTAAGGGCAATCCAGCTTTCCAGCTATCACCACCAGCATGCTGTTAGGGCTCCCCAGCACGCACGCTACCAGAGATACCCACAGCTCCCTTGCGCATCGTTGCTAAAATAATAAAAATAATCCACACCTGCACAAGCAAACATTGTAGACGCACTATCACTGTTTGCCAAAAGTTTATTATGGCAATAAATTAGAATTATTCATTATTTTCCATTGGCCACACACAGAGAATAACAGATAAGAACATTTATCAGTGAACGAATCGTCACCAAAAGTGTCGTTAAAACGCTCAGTTTTGGCAAATTTCTTCATTAGTTTGATTTATCTTTTTTGTATTTGAGTTATCTTATTTGTGTATCATCTACTTGATTATCGTTCGGTGCCTGTCATACTTCGAAATACTTCCGGTTTACTCAGGGTACTTTCCTTCATCGTTCTAGAAACGTCAGTAGTAGAAGCTTAGACTTGCTTCTAGCTTGTTCTCTAGTTCAAATTCAATTCAATTCAAAAATCATTTATTCATATAGGTAACAAAATGTACATTTATGAACGTCAAAAAATAAATATATATGAAATGCTTTAATTTTACATTTACTGCCAGTTCTTAAATCAAGGGCGTGGAACGGAAGAGAAGAACTGGCAATAAACTCTAACTACTAATTTACAGGTTCCTGTGACTTTGGCGATCAAGAAGAGGCTGTCGGCAGATATTACGAACGGCTAACAGAAAACAATCCTTTAAGATTTGGTGTTAGCGGCGATGTTATGGAAGAATTTATAGAGGCAGCGAGGGAATATACTAAGAAAATGCTTTAGTTGCAAGTTTTAAGCTAATTACAGATTGTAACTTGATCACTTTTACGTCAAACTTCATAAGGAAATAATAGTTTTTAAACTTAAAATGAGAATAAAACCTAAAGCTGTTGTGTTAATTTAAAGGTCTACTCTATGTATAGGTCTGTTACGCGAGATAAATTAATTCTGTTGAGGCTTAAAAGTCGCTTTGCAATCTGCGGGTTTACTGCTGGAAGTTGGAACTTATGGACTGCAGTCCGCGTTTTGCGAGCAACGGTGATTTTGGAGTTCTGTGAATCTTTGACGAATCCGGTTTACTTGTCATTTGAGTAAATTAAATTAGGTCCAATGTTACATTTGTGGTTCGGTTAGCACGTCATGTAAAATAAATTTTTACCTTTTATATGATTTTTAGATGAATTTTCAGGTTTCAAAAATTAAAAACGATTTACCTATCATTCAAACAATAATGCTTAGCGGCTCTACAGACGCTAATAAAAAATAAAATATTTTTATACTGTGGGCAATTGGATCGTTTGATGAGCGTAATTGCGGAAACTGTAAATTCTGTTTTACGTGTCTTTTGTTTATTTTGGCACGAATACACACGGAAACTATTTCTAGACTTTTTCTTTGATAGCACATAACAATGTTTTTATTTGTATAAAAATTGTCGACATTAAAATTATGACAGAATATATTTAGGAAATAAGTTTGTGCTCATTTTATAAGTGGGCAGGTAGGTGATCAGCCAGTGCTTACAAAACTAAAACATTGTTTTTTGGGCCTAAGTAAATGAATAAAACGTTTTTGGGATGGGAACTAACTGGGAATAAAAACCAGGTTCTTCGAGAACCTTCGTTAAGCACTAGCCTGTATGGAATAAAAATAATTGTAGTTTATTTAAAATTAGGAATACAGATAGTACATTATACTAAGATTTGTCTGTGATGCACTTTTTTGTTGTGTACCTGATAATAAATGTTAATACATCGTTTGATCTATTATGTTTTATTCATTCCTAAATTTCATACATTTCATAAATATATAAATTAATAAGCCTATATCTTAAAACATCTGTTTTTACGGTTTTGAGACGACAACGAATGAATAAGGAATATAAAATACGTAGGTAAATTGTAGATGTTTTACGATACAGGCTTATTAATTTTTATCAAATAAAGCGAGCTTATTCTAGTACTTTCCACAGATGTATATAAGATAGTAAGATGAGGTGATCACGCATATAGATATATTTGTAGAATTTTTCAATTATAATCAAATCGAGCAACCCAAATACCTAGTAAACCATTATTGATAGTACAAGTTCTAAAAATATCCAACAATTCATCTGCCCCATTTAAATGCATTTCGATCAATGTCGCGGTCTAGGCGCGCCAAATTGAATGCCAAAAAGTAAAATTTTGGCGCGAATCCAACTTTTGCCAAACTTTCGATTCAATCTCTTGAAATAGTAGTTTGAAACAAGTGCATAAACGTGTCAGCGGTTGGGAAAGTGAAGTGTCAATCTTATAGTAAGTATAGGTATAATGTTATTACATAATTTGGCAATGTACAAGATATAGTACATAAATATTCGGTTTAAATTTAAGAGGTTATAAATTTGGTAGAACGCGATAAAGTGTTTACTGTCCGTATTGAAGAATTTGTAGCATTTATCGAGGAAAGCACATAACCGAATTAACATGAATAAATATAATAAATAGAAATATTGGTGAATATGGTAAAGAGTTGTATAAACATTAGTATGTATTGCAATAGATTAAAAATATATTATAAAAACTTCATGTATAATAATGTTATAGGTAAAATGTCAACACTACGAGCAGGACCTAACGTAAAATTAGCAAAAATTTTCTACAAATATGCAGATAGATCCGAAAAGGCTCAAGAATCGGAAATTATAAAGGAAACTCCAAACGTTATTGAGAGTAGTAAAGATGTAACGCAAACGGAGGTAGACGTCGAGGCCTACCCTCCCTACAACTTCTCATGGTTCGTAGAAGCAAAGATTGCTGGTATGGGGTGGCCACAAACAGTAGAAAATTTAAACTTCCTGGTTAATGCAGGTATAAATCACATTATAACTCTATCTCCGGAAAGGATACCTCCAGTAATGGAATGCAGGAAATTAAAATGGACGCTTTTAAAGATTAAGGAATTTAGCGCGCCATCTTTGAAGCAAATAGTGAAGTTTATTGAAATCTGTAAGAAAGCAGAGATGATGGGAGAAGTATGTTATCTTATAATATCTTAGACCAGTGTTTCCTAACATTTTTCAATTAATTTAATAAAAAATTGTTCACTTAAGAAACTTAAATGATAGGTTTTGGGAAGAAATGACTAGGAAATTGTTAACGATATACAGTAGGTAAATAAATTTTCAAAACATTTGATGAAAACCTGTAGGTGATTCAAATTCCAAATAACTTTAATAAAGTTTCGAATAGATTAACAATCAATTTGTCCCCCTGTAGGGCGTGGGCGCCACGTAGAAAAACTCTGTCTTGGACTGTTAATTAGTAAGTAGGTAAAAATAATGTCATTAATTTATTGGTACGGCTGCATTCTAAAACGTGTCTCAAGAAATGTCAAACTGTTCATAATTTTAAAATATTTTCAGACTGTAGGGGTGCATTGTCGGCACGGCCGAGGCCGGACCGGCACTATGCTGGCGTGCTACCTTGTATACTTCCAGAACATGGCTCCAGAAAGAGCCGTTCTCACTACTCGATTGAGAAGACCAGGTCACAATGAGAATTCTTACTTATAACCACGTACCTCTAACATACCGTGGCTTTTAATAAATGTAACTCTTAATAATTGCAAACAGCGTGGCCTGTGAAAGCTGATGATAAACTATTTGGGCCAGTAATCATATACAGGGTGATTGGTAATTCGACGTAATCCCTTTGGGAGGGGTGACTATTTGTGATAATATTATTAACCCCAATATACAAAAGTTAACCATTTTTGAGTTACCATGTTTTTTAGCTTTTTCCAAAATTAGTTAAAATGCAAACTGAACATTTATTTGAAAAAAATACCATTTTAAGTTTTTCTTCTTATTTATAAAAATTACTATCAATACAAGTTAAACAATGCGAGACGAAAAACGATATTACTTCAATATTTCTTCCACTAAAATTTCTAAAATTTGGATTTGTTGGTCCATAGGATTTTTCACTAAAGAGACGCTTCTTCTAATTCCGCATTTAACATGAATCTGCAGAAAGTAATTCTCCGTTCATTTGTAGAAGTCTACAAACCCAATAGCTATTACATTACTATTGCATTGGGAATCAAATTCAAATTTATTCACCAGTAGACAGGAATTTTAAACACAAAATATACGACATAGATATAGAACCCTACGAAAACTAATGTTAAATCTTTTATAAAACATTTATTATATCTAGTTAACTGAATAAATAATTTTAGGTTCCTGCGAGACATACGAACAAGAAAAAGCTGTATGCTATTACAATGATTGTCTTCGAGGAACAATTACGAAGCCTGATTATCGACTGGTGGATGATAAGTTGTATTTTGACTACACCATGAAGTATACCTATGATAGAAGCTCTGATGATGAAGATTTAAATGATGATGTGGATGAAAGTGAACAAAAAACACTTACAGAAAGAGTTGATGAAGCAATATTGAAAGTTAAACCAAAAACAAATGCAATGGTTATAAATCACAAAATTTATTTTTAAGTTTATGTTAAAGGGCAAATTTATGTAATATTCTGCAATAAGTACCCATATACTATGATATTTAATAAGGAGAAGAGGTTTTTATGTATTTAAGTATTGAAGACAAATTAAAATAGCAGGATCAACTATATAGACTCTTTATTCAATACCTTATTAAATTTACAATATATATATATATATATATATAATATAAATATACAAACAAATACAGTTTTAAAACTTATATAACATTATTATGATACAAATAATAAATCTTGATGCAATAGTATTTTGGTTGGAGAAGGAAATATGTGTAATAAGAATTTTTATTTTATTTTGTATAATAATAATAATGCATATCGTCGCTTAGCTAACAATACCGCACAAGTCATATTTTAGCCAAATGACGTTTTTTACACCATTCGATAGATTACTTTCCCGCGCGTCTAATGAGCTCTCGCTAGAGGTAATATCGTCCAATAAGAGCGCGTTATTCAAAAACTAGTAACACAACACAACTCATTGGCTGCGCTAACACCGCGCAAGTCATCATAACGCCATAGTAATTTGGCCGTGCCACGTCGCACCTTATAAGATCGTTTGTCGTTTTTATAAAAGCGGATTTTTTGTAACGGACTGGCCCCACTGATGTAGTTTAAAGGTAAGGTAACTTAAATAAAACATAGTATTCATATTTTATCTATTAAAATACGTCATACGATTGCATTTAAAAACATGAATACTTAAGCGGTGTTGGAATGAACAGTTTCGTTGAGTTAGGCGGTTTTCTCTTTGCTTGGTTTCGATGTCTGAATGACTTACAATGTACTTCTGTGTTGAGTTTCTGACTGCTGTGTGGTATTCATCGATATAATTAGCGATTTTTACGCAGATTTTTTAATGATTTCTATATCGTAATTATATTATATTTTACTTCAGAACACGAAAATGGACAAAATGGTCGATAATGATACCACGCCTGATGACTTTTCAAGAGTTGACGCTCAATGTAAAAGTTATTACTTTGCGTGACTTACAAAAGAGACATAGAGAAAAAATGTTATTAAATACATTGGGTATTAAATAATGGTTTGTCCGATACTGGTTGATAACGACAGATTGTGCTATGCCACCGCCTTCTGAGATTTCTCGGAATGTAGATTGCTCCAAAAGAACTCTGATGGTCACGAGCGTCTACAGCAATTTTTAGATAACCTGCCGAAGATGCCATCGTCTACTGTCGAGCAAACTCATCCAGACGATACCTAGAACCAGTATTTCATACCATGGCACAATTATACAAAGAATACGTCAGTAAATGCGAATTAGATTCCTTAAAATGTCTTAGTCGTAGGGTTTTTGACAATGTATTCTTAAAACAGAATCTTAGTCTGTTTCATCCCAAAAAAGATCAATGCGATGTATGCTGTGGTCATTAAGTTGGAAATATAAACGATACTGAAATTGCAATACATCGCGATAGGAAAGACAAAGCTAGAAAAGAAAAAGACACTGACAAAAAATTGGCAATAGAAGGAAAAACGTGTCATGTATTTACGCAAGATGTTCAATCAGTAAAATTAGCTCCCTACCTTCAGGTTAGTGCCATATACTACAAGACATTTTATCTGTTCACAATTTTACCATGTATAATTTGTCAACACGTGAAGCTTGCTGCTACTGGTTCGATGAATCAAATGGCTCCCTTGAAGCTTCTGTTTTCGCATCGTGCATTGTGGATCAACTACAGATAATTTTAAATAGAAAATTACTACCGGTAATATTGTATTCTGATGGCTGCTGTGCACAAAATCGAAATTCCATCTTAAGCAATGCTCTTCTGCGTTTATCCATCGATAAAAAAGTTAAAATAACTCAACAAATCTTAGAAAAAGGTCACACGCAGATGGAATGCGACTCTGTGCACAGAGCCATCGAATGTAGATTAAAGGGAAAAGAAATTTACCTTCCTTCCCAGTATGCGAATATAACAAAGACAGCTAGAGATAACCCAATGCCATATGAGTCTCGATTATTAGAATTCTCTTTTTTTACCAATTTCAGTAAGGATTTAATTTACAAAACCATTCGTCCGGGCAGAAAATCCACTATTACCGATTTAAGGGTATTAAAATATAAACCAGATGGAACTATTTGGTATAGCTTAAACTTTGACGAACCTTTGCAGCCGTTGCCTCAGCGTCCAATGAAAATTACCAATGTTAAACCTTTAGAAGAGCTGCCGAAATTATTTTCTGAAAGACTGCCAATTTCCCAAAGAAAATATAAGGATCTCCAAGATTTAAAGGCAGTGATACCTTCGAACTGCCACGCATATTATGATGAGTTACCTTATAAAAATTAAATATTTTTCATTATTAGATCCATAAACATTTTGTATTATTTTTAGAAGTAGGTTAAGTATTCGAAGTGTTCTTATTGTCTTGTATTGTTTGTGTTAAATGTACCATTTAATTAAAGTTTTTGAGAGTTTAGAATTATTAGAAGTCATGGAAAAAATTACCTAAATTACAAAGCAGTGGTTTGCTCTGGTTTCCATTGTAACTTAGATAATTTTATTGATCTCAGTAGGTAAGTAGTTGATCTCGTCAAACAGTACAGTCGTAAAAGTCAATGAGTTCCTATAATATATTATAATATTAGCGAACCCGGCAAGGGTTGTCCTGTTGGAATAAGAAAATAAAACGGCAAAGAAATGTGTTTTTTTTTTGATAAAAAGCTAATTTAGCAATCTTTTTTTATTTTATTGAAGTTAATAATTAGTTTTATAAAACTGTTTTTGAAAAATGTTTTTATTTTGATAGTTTTTCATAGAAAGATTTTCTATGAAAGACTTATAGAGCGTAAAAATAAAAGGTAAAAACACCGCGTAAGTCTTTATTTTGTTAGAGTAAAACTGCTCAAGTCTTGAAAATTACCTAATAAGACGATATTTCTTTTATTTGTTTTTATAGTTATCATGCTTAACTAAATACAATATATTAAAATTTTTATCATGCATGTATTGTACAAAATGTTAAAGTAATACAGTTTTTTGTCTCTCCTGAAAACTAAGCAAATCTGACTTATGCGGTATTGTTAGCTAAGCGACGATATGTCCTTTAAATTCTTATGGTAATAACAGATTACAGCCGCCGTATCTGACATCCAAGTAAGCCAGGTTGAGCCCAAGGTCTAGGTACCACAGTGATGCTTTGTACTATTTGGTCCCGTCTTACTTTTAGTTGAATCCTCTGTCCCACTGAATGAGACACTATTTGATGTAACTGTGTGACATCAGAAAAATTGTTATGGTTTATTGAACCAAATTGCAGAATTTCATCATTTTCACATAGCCCCTGAAATAAATAAATAAAACTTAGCTATATGTGTTACCTAAATGGAATAAATGACATATTAATATGTAGTGATAAATTCATATAATGTCACATAATCATCAAACTCCTTAAAACATGAACTTACGCAATGATTTCCCTAGTTTTAAAAAAAAATATTTGCACAATTTTAACACTAAAAATGTGCAGTTCCGTCAATGTCGCTACATACAGTATGTATTTAAATTTACAGCCGCAATTGTAATATTTAAAGAGCACATAACTTACTGCCATATCAGCTGGTGATCCTTCTTGTACAAAGCCAACAGTAGCAAAGCTTTGGCTTGTATCATCTCCATTTGTGAATTGTGTATTATGGACATTGCTAGTTCCATAAACATATCTTGGTGGAGTTCTAGATGATGCTCCCTCCACAACTGGCCCCACATAACCAGAATGGACCTCTGTCAAGCCTCGCTCAATTTGTTTCATAAGCTCTTTGTGGTCATTCTGTAAGCCTGTACTAATTATATTAGAAAATGGTTCATAAATGACTCAGCAATAGTTGCAGAATTGATCAATTAGGTGTTTTTCATGTGTAAACATAGGCAGGCAAGTCGCATTGTAACAAGTATATTAAAATTTATTATTACAAATTTAATATCTTTGATAGAATTCACGAGTAGGAAGGAACAAGAAATATCCATACGTACAAATTATCCGGTGCCTGGCATGTCTTACTTTATAAACGTCAATGTCGTTTCGAGGGTATCCTTGGTGATCCACCAATGGGTCGTTCATACCCACATTACTGGTTTCCAAAATTGCAGTTTGATCTCTGATCTCACTTTCAATTCTATCTTTTTCTTGCATTAGTTTCAAAACCCTATCTCTCGCTGGTCCATCCATATTCAATCCTACCATTTTAGTTGTTTTCGTCAAATACTAAAGCCAAGCTAATCTAGGGAACTTTTTGTTAAGTTTTTTATTGACTAAATTATATATTATAGCTGGTAGGAAAAAGTTAGTAATTGGTATAACTTGTATTCGTTTTGAAGTAGGACCACAATATACAAATAAAATTTTGACAATTTACATTTTACACTTTTCATATTTGACCACAGAATACTATGTTATGTCTGTTACATAGTACAGATGTTCTAGTTTTACTTTAGATTAAAAATATTAAATGATCGTTACTCATGGTGCGTCGAAATTGCTTTTAAATTTTGATACGGTACGTTTGAGTTCTATCCACAGAACTATTTAGGTCTTTATGGTGCTGGACAAAGTTAGTTTAAGACACACGTGACCCGGTATCGGTACCCAAGAATTTTGTAAAACGGTGGGTTTACGATTTATGTCCACGTAAAGCAAGCTGTCCACGGCTGTAGCCCAATTTGGCTCGTGGCTTATTCAATAAATTTCTTAATATTTCATAAAATATTATCAACAGTTTAATCATTGATGTGAAGTAATAAAAAACAAGTAATTGTTACATTTTATTTTGAAATCAATTATGAGATTTTTAACTGCAGCACGACACATTTACAAAAAAATATAGTAAGCTTTTGTAAATAAACTTACTATAGTTTGGATTTTACATAAATAACAAATATAACAATGATTTAAATAAAATGACCAGATTAATAGTTTTACTTATAATAATAGACGCTTAATAGTAGTCAGAAATATGAAAAAGTAAAACAAGTAAATGTGAGTGTTGGTTAACATTTTAAGGAAGGTTACATATTAAAGCGTTCTTTTCATATATAAAAGTATTCTTAGATTATTAAGTAAATGTCTTTTGTGTTGACAAAATGTACTTTAGTATACTTAAAAATAAAAAAGTCCGCAGTGGAATTTCAATAAACTGAGCATAATTTTGCTTATGTACTCAACGACTCTGGCGACAGTCGCCGAGTACAAACTTTATAAACATTCACAATTATTAATTGTGCAATCAAAAACACATACATACGTAATCAATAAAACGCAAACAGAATATACGTTGTATACACGAAAAAACATGATTGTGCATTACAAAGAAATTATCCCTATTATCACCTGTCATTTATTACCGACAACCATTTCAGCACCGCAACTCCGCGAGTATAGTCTGGCGTTACTATGTCACAGACAACGGTGAAAAAACCGTAATCGATAATTACATGTACAAAAAATATGGTCCCTAAAGAAAAAAAATAAAAATTTAATCACATTTGTCTCTATTTCGAGACGAATTACGTATTATACCCTAACAATTATGGCAACATTGACAATAAATAAGACAAAGGAATATTCACAATAAAGAAATAGTTTTGGAAACGATCAAATAGACTATAAAACTTAGTCGAATAGAATTTGCTCGGTAGAAAAAAATACAAGGCAACAAGTGCAGACTTTGTGTTTATTACTACATCTATACTTACTACAAGCCATATTCGTAAGCTTTTAAGCTTCGCGATTCGCAAATATGTTATTTGTTAGTTTCGTGTCACTTTGACTCAATTAGGCTTGTTACAATTTGTTAGATAAATTTTTAGCTATTATAATTTTACACGTTCGCAAATAAAAATCAGGCGTGTTAAATGTCAAAACGACAATTAGCATTTCAACCGTTATTTAAAATCGTCTAAAGTCGGAATGGTTCTCGTTTATCCGTGGTTCGTGTGGTTGTCGATGTACGTCGAGTGACTGGTGTAGTCGGCGTGCCGCTATCAGAGGCATCTGAGGTCTTTCGCAGCAATCTCGACACTGCAGTTTGTTGACCAGAACGCACAGGTGTTGTGCTTCCCGAAGGTGTTCTTTGCCTGTTACAGAAGACGTTTAAAGTACCCAGTGAAAGACTATTACACCATGCAGCAAGCTCAACACCATCGACTATCTAAAACACAGCTAAAGAAATAGGCCAATCGAAATTACGAACGCTTATAATAACGCATATAGCAAAAAACAAACCCATAAATAATAGTTGTTACGACCATGCCAGAAATAACCAACTACGCTACGAAGTATACAGCCATAGATTACCTAGATTGATTAGTGTTAGTGATGTGCTCCTTAGGTACTGGTATACGACTTCTGCCAGGTGTATATCCATCGGTTGAGGCAAACGACCCACTCCTATGCAGATGATGTTAGCGAGCACAAAGATAGACATTAGGAACAGATTATAAGAAATATAGTTTTATTAGTGCACATGTATTAGATCCCAATAGACTATACAATACTCAGTAATGAGAACTCTTTGAATAAGTAATATAATTAAAAAAACAAAGGTAGATGTAAAAAATATTGTGTGCTCGAGTGCTCACTTAACATCTAGGAGGAAGTGCATGTGCAGTAATAAAGGGATTACAAAAGCCACAGATTTAAGCTTGATAGAAGAATAGACATTTCCACAATACGTGAACGTGACAAATCACTTACTATGATTTGCAGCAAGCCAAAACTATGCCAATGTTAGTATCTAAGCCTAAAAATTAGTAGATTATGCTTCAAGCTATAACCACGCGACAAATACACAAGCTAATATGAATCATGGAACTGGGTGATTTTTAAAAAGTGATGACTGATGATCCAATAATGTTTGAAACTATCCGGAATGTGTGAGGCGATGGATTGTGTGGAGAAAATGAGTATCAAAAACAATCGGGCCAAAACAAAGCTAACACTTTAAAGCCTGTACCCTTTAGCGTCGCGTTGTTTCGGTTTGGAAGCATCACCGCTCGACTCGCTAATATTACTCTCACATTCATTGTCGCTCGTCATTCCCGATATACTGAACAGGGAGGAATCGTCTTCCGGACTTCTTTGGTCGGATTTCGGATCTTGGGACATGGGACTGGGATCTTGTGAGGTCTCTCTGGACTTTCCAGACTTTAGCCTTCGCTCAGTCGATACCGATCGCTGCGATCGGTTGCCGACGTAAATTGGAATTTTCGTGGTACCTTGAGTTTGGAATGCTGGATGATTATGGGATAAAGATTTAGGAGGTTCAGAGGCCATCGACGATGGCTGGGAATGTGTAGAGCTGTTTTATCCATGTTAGAATCGATGCATGTGGAAAGGAAAATATACAATTTATTATAATATTATTTGATACAATAAAAATACTTGATAATATTGGTTAATTTAACACAAAAATAGCCTTTGGAAGCATTGTTAAATTTCTCCTTGCATGCTCTTTGAAAGTGTTGCCACCACCAAATGTTGTATGAACAGATACATCAGATGACAGACAATATAGAAAACTAACTTTTTCCCTGTAAACTCAAAACAACCCCACCAATTTTCGTGCTTCACAGGTGCAATCAAACAAATTACTGTCACAATTTGAATTTCTTTCTTAATTTAACAAAATATTCATTGATGCATCGATCAAAAAATATTAGATTCATGTGGCAATTAAATTTCTTGCAATAACAAATTCAAAAGTCAAATTGCGATTCTAGCACCACCCCAATCAAAACGTTTACTAGCATTTGACAGTGTACCTCACTAGAGCGGGCACCGGTGACAATGTAGGAATACTGGAAGTGCGGTACATCGCTCCGCTATGATACCTGCCCGGACCCGGTCAAACCAATTCATGTTACCAAATAATTTAAATAATGTTTACATAATTTTGAATACAAACTCAATGTGATTTTATCGAAGTAGGTTATAACTATATTAATTGACACAAGAGTATAAAATTTGGGTAATCCGTAATTGCCCTTGGCCGGAATTTTGGCAGAAAATCTAAAATATTATTATACTTCCCTAAAAAACTTCAAAAATGTAATAATTCTAACTTAGACAACTCTGGCCTTTATTAAGGTAAGAAATATAAAAGAAACGATATCTCACCTTCCACTGGCTGGTGTCAGAATACCAGTGGGTGTTCGTGGACGAGAGCCACCATTGGGAGTACTGACACCCAGTTTGTTAGCGGTTGCCGCGGCACGGGCAAGAGATGCCCGCGTGTTAGTCACTTTCCTCATAGGTATACGAGATGGAGTTGATACGTCATCTAGATAGAAATGTGAAAATACTTAGTGTTTAAAGCCACATTTTAGTTTAGTCAAAAGCTATTTAATAATATGAAAAAATAAAATAGTAGATAAGTGTAAGGACTAATATTAACCTGTGCTGTCCAAAGATAAGTTGGATCCATGTCTCGAAGGTGGTTTTGACCCAGTTCTAGATCCGGGTCTCGATCCTGGCCTTGACCCACCAGGTGTTAAGGTAGATCTAAAAATATTGGAATACACATCAGGTGAGAATGAGGCAAAGTGCACCGTCGAATAACATTGGATTTATAATTTTATAATACATACCTGGGTACACTCGGCTTTCTATATCTTTGTCCCAATCCACTAGCGGCTTCGTTGTCGCTCAGCGAATCTGGTGTTCCCGCACTGAGCGAAGACCGTGAAGCTCGACCATGAACTCCTCCAGCCGACATTGGCACAGAGCGAGCCGTACGTTCCCTTACCTATATATTTATTATTTTTATTGAAATGATTCACAATATCTTGGTGGCAAACAATGGAGTTAAATGATAAACACGATGAAAACGTAAAGAACACATCAAGGCAAATACGTGTCGTGTGCATGCCGAACTAAAATGATTTGATGATCTATTAACTCACACTAACACTGATAATAAAAATTAAATTATTAATACAAACAAATCACAGCTGCTATTAGATCGAGTGCAATCAACCAGCAAACTGTCACACAGCCTAATCATTACCCAATGGTATCCTGGAGAAGGCTGATATCCGTGTTGGTGTGTATAGTGGTGGGCACCCGGAGTCGTCGAACCTTGAGATCTTGAATGGCCGTAAATGAAAGCCTGCTTTGTGCCGTGCGTCGAGCCCACATGCAGCGGATACGAGCAAGGGAGCTCTTCCCTCTGTCTCAAAGCCTCAAATATGGGCCTCAACTGCTCCATAAACTCTTCAGCTAAACGCATCAATTGAAGTAGAAGTCTCATTAAGAAAGGAAGTATTTGACAGGAAAAATAGTCTTTCATAGTGCCAATCTTTTGCCGAAAACGCGGTTTTAACAAAACGATGTTACGATTAGTCCACACACTAGTCGACGGACACGCTTATAATTGTGTAATGCGGGTGTGAAGGGATCTAGAGGGAAGGACCAACAGAATACGTTACCGGAACGTCCGTACGTGTTGACGTGCCACCTCCAATCCAAGTTGCAATGGAAGACAAAAACACCAAACACTACACGAGCCAGTGAATGCTTAGCTTAGCACACTAATGCAATACGACAACGCTACGAGCTCGTTACATGCTGTTCACGACGCGATTGCCTCTTGCAAATGGATACATCTATCCATGTACAAGATTCAACAGAAAAAAGCAAAAATAAGAAAACCCAAACCGATTTGACCCTCTATAACTACAGCTGTGCGAATATGTAGTACAAGTGCGAAACTAAAACTAAATATAACCTGTAGAGAGAAACGTTACATTAGAACAATTTTTAGCTAAACTTACCTTCGTTATTGGTCCAGTGGACGGAGGCGTATTTGTGTTTGAGCGTGGCGTTCGCGGTCTGAACGCAGCCATGCTTTGCGATACTCCATCGGCCAGAATAAATTGCTCCCGGAGTTCGATGTTTGTGCGTCCCTTGGCTGCATGCGGGCGGCGTCCAGTGCAGGATAAAAAGGGACAGGATGGAATAGGGTCAAAACAAAACCGTTTGGTAAAATGAGGGGACAAAAATTACACCAATGTGTCAAAAGAGGAGCGTGCATCGGTTGTGAGGAAGAGGGAAAAACAACAAACAAAAATCAGATCATGTCAAACATAGGCAAAAAAACGCAATAAAAAATTTAAAAAATTAAATCATTATTTTTTTAAAGTGTGCAATAAGGAACAGGAACATTAAATTACAATAATTAGTATTCTCACACCAAATCAAATCAATCAATATGAAATCAAGAGCAAGATTAATAAAATATAAAATATTGAAATATGTAGAATCCTTATTAAATAAATAAACCCAATTTTATAATGTTAAGGTCAACCTTGCACTTGATTCATTTAAATATAAATTAGTATCTACCTACTAAGTGAAATATTATTAATTAAGCAAATAACTTTTCAAACATGCATAATTAATAATAATTAAAGATTAGATGAAGCCAATAACTATTATCATTATATCCCCAGTTACGGGCATTCGTCTACAAAGACAATAAAATAGACTGCACCTAATAAATTAAAAACATCGATAAAATTATTATATTAACAAAGTAATACAAATAGTATACCAAAATATAAAATACATTCATAGCAAACATAATATTTAAGCAACACCAATATTTAACGTATAATTAATAGGACTTGCTATGGAACTCATCTCTTATTACTCGTATTAAAAAAACAATATTGAACAATATGTCAAGTTTCCAAAAGCAAATCGTATTATCTTACCGAGCGGGCAACAAGCTTCATGCTGTTCCGGTTTACTCGGATCAGGCAGCGGTAGCACTAACGATACTACTCACGTCAAGGTATAAGGAAAAAAACGCAATGAAATAATATAAAAAAGGGAAATCAGGGATGGAATGGGCAAAGCAAATACGAATTAGTTAATTAGTAGCAACATCAAAATACGAAAAAATATTTTTACTTAGCAAGATCACTATAACTAGCTTTTAGTGTGTAATGATAACCTTGCAATAAAACAAGTGATTTATTGTAGTTAAAAGTGTTCCGTTTTAAGTGCTACGTGTAACCGCTGCATTTTGTATTAATACCGTTAAAATATAATATTTTTGAAAAAATATTATATTTTCTAAGCCGTGATACTGGCAACTGGTTCACGACTGCGCAACTCTGACATGTTGACAGCGCATGTCATTTCCATTTTCCGTCCTTCACTCTTAAGTTTTATCTCGGCCGGTTGCGTTGTATCTATTGTGTTTGGGTGTGTTGACTATTTGTGTAAATTAAATGTAAAAAATAAGAAAAAAATGACTGGAACGGTGTTAGAAAATCTCAGTGGACGTAAACTCGCGATACTTATTTCATTTCTACTAGCATGTCTCATGATGTGTTTCTTGATTGGCGGCTTGGTCGCACCCATGCCCGCAAATTCGCAAACTATTCTAGGAACTGTATGCAGAGATAGATCTAAAGTGAAAAATGATACGACAAAATGGTTCTACAATCGTGGCAATGGTAAATGCGAGACGGTTGACCTTACAGAAGCACAACTGAGTCACGATTTGTCTGAGACCGACATTGTTTTTGCGTTTCAATTGCCATTGCCGCGCGAGGGCATGAATATTGACTATTCTAGGTGGCAGCAAAACTTGATTGGGGTGCTGCAAATGGATGTAAGGTATCATTCATCAATGGAGGTAACTCGACAAAGTACTATAACTATTGACGCTCGTCTAGCGTATAAAAACAAAGGAGACCCCGACGACGCCTGGAAGCTATACACGCTTTCAAGGGAAAAACGGCACTTGGACTGTGACATAAATGTCAAAATTGAAGGATATTTGTACAATTGCTCTGCCATGCCTTTATTTGAGCTTGGTTCCTTGTACCATGACTATTATTTACTTAACATTCGCCTGCCGGTTGAAACAAAAGATATGAATGCCCATATTGGTCACATACAGGACATGTGGGTCACTGTTATAAATCAAAATGGAGGTTTTACTAAAGTATGGCTGTCCTTGAAAACTGTTTTCTTTCCGTGTATTGTTGGAATATTGGTGTGGTTCTGGCGCAGAATACATTTATTGCAAAGAAAACCTGTTCTCTTGGAGGAGATGTTATTTGCATTGGGCATAGCTCTTTGTGTTCTAGACATGCCTATTGAATATTTAACACTGGTTTTTGACTTGCCTTTTATGTTATTATTAAGTGACATTCGTCAAGGATATTTTTATGCAAGTCTATTTTCATTTTGGCTTGTATTTGCTGGAGAACACATGTTGATACAAGAGTCAAAAGATAAAAACAGTGTAAGGAAATATTGGCGGCACTTAAGTGCTGTACTTTTGGGTTGTGTCTCACTTTTTGTCTTTGACATGTGTGAGCGTGGGATACAACTGAGAAACCCATTTTATTCTATCTGGGTATCAGAATTGGGAACTAACTTGGCTCTTACTTTTATAATACTGGCAGGTATCTCGACTGGAATGTACTTCCTATTTTTAACCTACATGGTGTGGAAAGTGTTTATGAATATATCACAGAAACGTCAATCATTACCAGCTATGTGTTCAGTGCGCCGATTACACTATGAAGGAATTGTATACCGTTTCAAGTTTTTAATGCTAGCTACTCTGATTTGTGCTGCCATGACAGTCATTGGATTTATACTAGGACAAGTGGCTGAGGGGCAATGGAAGTGGGATGACAACATTGAACTGCAATATACCTCAGCATTTTTCACCGGCGTTTATGGAATGTGGAATATCTATATTTTTGCTTTATTGGTATTGTATGCGCCGAGTCACAAAAAATGGCCTGTCAATGAAAATACATCTGACACACAGAATTTGAGTGAGGAAATTGAATTTAACCATATGCCAGAAAAGAGTGAAATATCTTCCTTTACATCCTTCATAACAAAATCGGCTATTGATTAAATATTTGTGTAAACTTTAACACACCATAAAATATTTTTAACTAATATTTAGAAATGTAACAGTATAATGTACTTAATGAATCTCATTGTATTTTTAGAGATTAAAATCAGTATTACTCAAGTTAAATATTGTCCATGTATGGGAAAATAGAGATAACATTTTTTAGATAAGTCTTAAGTATATTTAAATGCATTTATCACTAACAAGCTATTTTTAATAAGCAAAAACCTTTGCTATTATGTCTTTATTTTACCTTGATTTTCTAACGAATTCTAAGACTAAATTTTTGCCATTAATTCTGTGATATTTTTCTTTTCTACGTTGCCAGTATCATTTTGTAGCATGTGTAGTAAATAAATGTTTAAAAATGTATTGTTCTTTTATTTGTTCCTATTTTATGTTAGTAACATTCTTTAGTTTATTAAAATGAGCTGAATTTGCCCGTCAAACCTGTTAATGGACGTTAAAACAGTTAAGGGTTAAGACACAAACAAGTTAACGCTTGGGATTGACACTTTGAATTTCTTATATCATCAATTGACTTTTAATGTAGCACAAAAAATGCACATTACAAAGTCATTAATTGTTATAAGCCAAATGGAATATTGAATAATAAAGTTCATATCATAATAAACTAGTTATTAGAGACAAATCAATTTGACTTATGAATCTTAAATTATAGTTCAATAATTATTTTTATTGTATTAAAATATTTTTTTATCCTTGGATTAAAAATAACTTTTGAACCAATTAATTTTTGTTTATAATCATTATTATTACATTAACTCCTTTGTCGCAATCATAGCAAGTCTCAGGTTCATATTCCAGAATGTCAAACTTTGAATTTCCAAGATTTACCTTCGTAACCAGACATTTTACACAGTGTTCCAGTTTGGAAGTATGGATATAACTGTAACTTTGCACGTCCGATTTAGACAAATTTTGACTGTAAAGTACACTGTTCAGTAGAAGAGTTTTTAAAAAAAAAGTTATAAAAAATTATTTAATCATATTTCCAGAAAACATTGTGATAAGTTAAGTAATATCTAAAAATATTAGAATGCAAGGATTAAGAGTTAAAAATCAGTCTTCAATACTTTTCTTAAATTTCTGCCACCGTTTGTTTGGTTACAAATTTCAGTTTAGTTCATTCAATCAAATTATATAATCAACAATTTAAGTAGACTACTTATTATTAGTCTATTATATTCTCGAAGTATTTTTGATTCGAGTAATCTTAACACAGTAACCAAACAAACTTTCGTTAGTATAGTACGTACCTCTGCATGGGTCATTTTTGACCAGGAATTCGTCTAAGGCCACCCAGCCACCGCCAA